ATCAATTCGTATTTTACGAATTCTATTTATGAATTCGTCGGTTATGCTTTGGCATCTATGAATTCGTAAATAGAATTCGTAAATTCGCATTTTATCATATTTTTGCTAATTTACGAATTCGTACACGAATTCTTGGGGACCAAAATGATCAATCATTTCACGAATTCGTCGATAGCCGACCAATTCGATTTACGAATTCGTAGGTACCGGAAATTTCTTTCTTACGAATTCGTCCTAATTTACGAATTGGCAAAAGGAGGAAAAGACGCAATTTTTTGGTTCGTTTTTGATCATTTTTGTTAGTTCGCATCACTTCGCATTGAATTACGACTTCGCTGCGAATTCGCAAAACAATGGTAAAATGAGAACTGTTGCATCATTTTTACGTCCAAGAATTGCGATTCGTCAATTCGTCTTTAGACACTTTGTCCACACTAATGGTAAGGTGTCTGAGATGCTGTAAATATTGTAAAAAATAATGTATGAAATTTAAATGACGCATGCCTTAGAACTGGATAAAAAAAACCTATCACCAGTTTATTTATTTTGAAGGACAGCAATCCATCAGTTCTCTAGAGTAGTTAAGCAACTATAAGATTTAGAACTGTCGACTATGTGTATCAACTGGCTTCTTATTTAATAAGGAAGGATCATCAGATTTTGTACCTGTACATGAGTTGCTCGTCATCTGTATGAAGTGATCATCTTTTTCCACATAATGAGAGGTCACTACTTTTAAGAAGAAATAATAGTCAGTTAGAACTCTTTTGAAAGAATGAACGATCAGATCTCACTGAAAAAAACTAAACTGGTTCCATTCTTGATATGCTGCCTGTTCGACAGAAGTGCTGCATTTCTGTAATATTTTTCTTTGAAGCTGGAAAAAAGGAAAAAAACAAATTTCTTGCTTCTGTCGTAGAACGAAATAAAAACGATAATTTTTTTTTCTTTCTATACCATAAGAGGCACATGTATATTTTTTTTATTGTAGTAAGAGAACAGAAAAGAGATACATCATCATCATAACAAAAAATAACGTGGTTTCTTCAACAGAAAGAGAAACAGTAGTGTAACTAAATCAAGCAATAAAACGTTTTTTGTATTTGCTGCAGTTGTAGACAACAACAATGATGAAGAGCTTGAAATAATTTTATGATGACTGGACGTGCTGTTAGGTAAGGTATTCGAAATGTAAATGAATTATTATGGAAGACATCTGTAATCTATACATTAATCTGGGATGATGACGATGAAATGAGTAAAACTTTCATCGTGACATGATTTTATTCGGCCCTGATAGTGCATTCTATCTCTTTTATTTGGTGTTTCTATCAGTCTGAAAATCTACGAGTAGAGATGACAAGTTACCCCATTATGCTGTCAGCTGGCAACTGAGTAACGATAGTTAGTCAGTTACCGGTTAACCGTGACTGCCGAGTTTTCAGCTACTTGTGTAATAGTAGCTACTGAGTTAATTTTATTACTTTTGGTTATTTGCATTTTTAACGAAATGTTTCATTTTTTATATCTATTTGTGCTTTTAAATCTAGCAGACAAATACCGAGCGTGATAAGTAATTCTGAAGAAGACTATTCACTGCAGTACTTACTCTCATTCAGTAGTAAATATGTTCTAACATAAAGGAGAAAGTGCGATTAGTTTATTTTCACTGAAGAAGCAATATACTGAAAATGACCAGATGAATCTACACTATGTTGAAGAAGCTGAAGCCATGTGTACACATACACACTGACCTGTTTCTAAAAAAAAAGATAGTGTAAATCTGAAAAGTTTTTTATAAAGAGAGCCTTCTTGCGTACTACTACTGTGACATTAGTTCTGGTACAATAGTTTTGCCTGAGGACAACTTCGAAGATGATATTTTGAAGGTTCTGTGTTACTGTGTACAAAGCATTACTCTACCCCTTCAGATTCGTTATAAAAGTAATCAAATCAGACGTGAAAAGTGCCTATTTCTAACTACAGACTGAAATCTCCAGGTCAATTGCCAGTCTGTACCTCGATGGGCACTTTCGGCGTAAGAAGCGTAAACAATTTACATAGTGAGTCGATTTTCAATAGGGTCAAATCCTAACGCAACTTTTTTACTGCATCGCACTGATTCTCTACTTTTGGCGTAAATATTCATACCTCTGCGCTGCATTACATTGGCTTCAATTTTCAGATTAACGGCTCCCCAACTAAAAACAAGTCGATTTTGAGATATACACATGGTTAGATAGCCCAAAGTATCTGCTTTTGTAATACACTATAGATTTTAGATTTTACGTTGATTTCTGAGGGTTTGCGAGGCTTTTATGAAAGTTTTGAAGACAGAAGAATCATTTTTCTCTGAAAACAGCTTTTTTAGTTTAAATCTGTCACCGTTTACAAGATTTCCCCTCTGTTTTAACACGTTCATTATCCATGTATTATATATGACTCATTTAATTTTTGACCATAGAATTCATATATCAGATATGATACGGCGCGAGACAAGTTTCACGACAAGTTTCACAAAATCATATTTAGTCTGATCTTGCACATGCATCATATCTGATACATGAACTCCATGGTCAGAAATTAAAATGACACGTAGATGATACATGGACAGTGAACGTGTTAAGCTCTAGAAATCTCAGGATGGTCTTCAGTTAAGAAACAAAGCTCAGCACTATGACATATCAGAGCCCGATCTTTGGTTTTTACTTCAGCCTTTATGGTAAAAAAAGGTATTCCATAAAACCAGCCCATAGTTTTACAAGCTTTCGAACTAAAACAAAACTAAACAAAAATCTTAAAAAATCGGTCCCTGATATGTTATAGCACTGAGTTTTATCTTTAAATTAAGACTAACCCGAGATTTCTAGAGTCTAGTGTAGACGAGAAATTTTGTAAATGGCCGGATTTTGACCCTTGTGTCTGGAATAACTGTGAGAAAACTCAACATTTCGAGTTCAAACTTTTACTTTGAACGTACCTTGATAGGGCTAATCTTCGTCGTAAGTCTGGCTAAGAACGAGCATTTCTCCTATAGCACAGGTTCTCGAGGGGAAGGAAACTTAAAGCATGTATGGGAAATAAAGCTTTATGCTTTTTCGCGGGTCGAATTTTAAATCATTTTTCTTATTCCTTGTTTTTCTTCATTGATCCACAATCAAAACTGTCGAACTACTTAGACTTTCAGAAAATTTATGAGACTGTAATAGCTGATGTAGAAAATGAGCGAACTTTTATTTTAGACATTATTTTGATATTGTATTTTCAATTGCACTTCATTATTGTTATGACTCTTATCAATGATCGAAAATCGGAAAAAAAGAAGCATGATATGGGCTTTAAATATATGTTTGCCGGATCGATAGCTGGCCTAACGTCAAAAACTATCTTACAACCATTGGATGTTGTTAAAGTTCGTTTACAAGTACAAGACGGACGTTCAGCAAACGAATATCGCGGTATAACACATGCCATACAATCTATACTTCGCAATGAAGGTTTTTTAGCACTATTTAGTGGTTTAGCTCCAACATTAATTGCTTCAACAATTCGTAATGGTGTCTATTTCTTTAGTTATAATCAATTAAAAGACTTTTTTAAACGACGTCAACTCGTTAATTTATCATATGAAGAACAGGAAATAGAATATAAACATGTACATTTAGGTCCATTAACTCATCTTTCATGTGCTGGTATGTCCGGTGCAATGACAACTTTTTTTACAAATCCATTTTCCTTGATAAAAACACGTTTACAACTACAAGGCAAAGAAATTCAACAACAATCAAGAATGTATACGGGTGTTACGGATGCATTTAATCGCATTATTCGTGAAGAAGGTTTTTTTAGTTTATATCGTGGATTGGGTGCATCAATTATATTAATCAGTAATAGTGCTTTACAATTTATGTCTTATGAAGAATTAAAAAAATTAGCTATTTATTATGTTGATGGTGAACAAAATCTAACAGCTACACATTATTTTTTAATGGGTGGTACGGCTAAAATATTTTCATCGACTTTAACGTATCCGATATCAGTTACGAAAGCGAGATTATATGCTCTAACACCAGATTATCAATTACAAATGACACAACAAGTGACTGATACAAATGTGAAATTAATAGTCGACCATAAATATAAAAATATGACCGATGTATTTCGATGTACGTGGAAAGATGAAGGGTGGCGTGGTTTCTACCGTGGACTTGTGCCACAACTGATTAAAGTTGTACCAAGTTCAGCTATTACCTTTCTCATTTATGAAACTGTTCTCAAATTTTTCAACACATCAAGAACGCCTGATAATATCCTCAAGACATCGAATAACTGACGTATTGTTTACCATGCACTTTCAATTCACACAGTCCACAAATTTAACGCATTTTTTCTAACAAATATCCAATATTTCAGACAAATGCGAGGATCTTATTGGAATACTTTTTAGATAATAATGCGGAACTACATCCAGTTCGGGATTTGAACTCAGAGCTCGTTTTTAATACGAATTGTTATCATTACTTCTCTCTTTCACTTGACTGTATTGACAAATCGAAACATAACTTGTAGTAGATCATCCTTGGCCAATGTCTACTATCATTCTGTATAGGAGTGACTCTTAATAAAGCTTTTCGTTGCTTTTGTGCAAGTTTTAACACGGAATTTTATATTGAAAATTTCTCCCTTTATCTGAAGCGTCAAAACCAGAAAAAGCTAGAAATTTCTGACAGAGTAGTGAAGAAGGGAAACCGTTCCTCCGCTCTTCTAATTCAATTCATCATTTGCTTCGTATTTGTGTCTCATATTGCGTTTATTTCTCTAAATGAAGATGCCTGATGATGTTGTTCCAATTA